ATATAATATAATATAATATAATATAATATAATATAATATAATATAATGTAATATAATGTAATATAATATAATTAATATAAACTTTATATTATAGATTTCATAATCCTGCCCCCCATAAAAGGCATTATAGACACAAGATCTGGTGTGTCAATTACAGCCAAACAATCCAGACCTTTCTAACTGGCACATTCAGCCTCCAGTTTTAGACATTCAAGGGGTTGGTAGCAAAAGTAGTCCCTTACAAAGTTCAGAAACATTATGTGTTACAAAAAAATCTCCTATTTTTCAACCCCATATTTTACCCTTGCCTTTCTCCATTTGGGGCAGAGAGCACCTATCTCAATGGGGTTGTGATTGAATATCCTATTTCCTAGGGACCACTAAAATACATCTATTCAAATTTCTTGGAATAAATCAGTTGCTGATTAACAGGACCAAACTTAAACATGTACATCAGCTAATGCAAGAACAACTTCAGAGAGACCATATAAGACCTCCATCAGCACCTAAAATTCTGAAAACTTCTAGTAAATGGAGAATTTTTCAGATGGGGCCAATAGATCATACAAGGAGTCATTAACATGGCATGTTGATGCTGGAATGTGGTATTCTCTTATTATACCTGAAGCAAGCACTACACAGTAGGAGGAACTTCTGGCTGCCCTGTTTGCCTTCAAAACATTCCCAGGTCAGTCCTTCCAGTTCATTGATCTTTATTATATGGCTCAAGACATCTTACAATATACATATAATGCATTAGAGCTTGCATGTGGACTTATGTATGGGAGAAAGGTCTGAATGTGAAGTGATGAAATCTCACATAAAGTGTAAGAGGGTAGTGAAATGAGAGTTGTCCTCCTAAAAGAGCAAAAACTGTCTGCCATTCCTCAGAAGTTTGTAAAAGAAAATTGAAATTATCTTGAAATACAATAGAATGTGTTTCAAGTCATCTTGCCCAGTGCCTCAGACTCATTGTGTTATCAGTATTTATCTCCATTCAAAGCTTTCTTTGTAGATCCACAGAATTGCCTGCCCTCTCACAGTAAGAAATCATTTGTGATGTCCTTTTTTTTCCTTTTTTTAAACACAAGGCTCCTGTTTCCCATATTCCTTCTTTCATCAAGGTGCTAAAGCTTTACAAAAACAAGTCCAACTATCACAGATACGAGCTCAGAGAATTATTTGTTGCTCTCCCTTGAGATGCATTCCACCATCTCAAAAAGAGTCTTCATCCAAATGATCTTCGGCAACTTGATGTTACTCATGTCAATTCCTTTCTACATTCTAAATG